GCATCATCATCCAATTACCAAATCCTGGTAATTATTTTCAGGTATTCCTATTGTGTCTATACCATCCAATCTAGGCGGCCAAGATTTCTTACCTGCACTACCATAATGGATCAACCTGTATCCACTGTTGATTCATATCCACCCTCTTTCAACCATTCATTCTTGAAGCAGCATTTAAAAGTATTTTTTAAAAAATTTAATTTCATCCCCCTATATAAAATTCTTTGGTAGCTTCCTATTAGGAATAAAAGACAGAAAAATCCAACATGATACTGTTTATAAATCTCTGCATATCAGACTAGTCCATCTTTATCATTTCGCACATTATCCTGCTCACAATTGGTAATTTTTATTTTATTTTTGCAGTGAGACTGGGGCCTTTATTGGTTGGACCAGGGTGTCTAGTTGCTTAGGTGGAGCGTGCCTTTGTGCTGGCTCCTATTTGCCCTCTCCTAGGAGTTCAGGACTCAGCCTAGGAGAGAGAAGTGTCCAGACGGGTAGTAGGCAGAGCCAGGGTAAAACATACAGGGCTGGGACCTAAAAGGGGCTCAAGGTGATGAAGGAAATGTGGGGGTGCTAAGTTATCCACATAAAGTGTCATTTGGGGGAAAGGGGAGCTGTTTCACTGGCAGGCCTTTCTATACTTGCCAAGAATGGGAGGGCTTGGGAGGAAAGCTTCCCCTAGAGAGTCCCTGTTGTGTCCTTCAGGCCATCAACATCTCTCCGATTTGTCTTCGGCTTCCTTAACACTCCATTCCAGGTAGGATTTTTTTCTATTCTAGTTCTTTAATTTTTTCTTCTGCTATTTTCTGTTTTTCTAGCAGCTAATTGTAAATTACCTCCTTTGATTGAAAAATAAACATTCTTCCTACACCTTCATACATACTAGTCTCATCTACCAAAGTCATAATCTCTGTATCTGTAAGATGTGCAAGTTTCTTCGTTCTGTTTAGCTGTTCAATCTGTATGTCTGCAAGCTTCACCTGTTGTCAGTAACTTTTGACTTGAAGCTCTGTGAAAGCCTCCTTTAACTCTAGATCCACAGGGGCAGCCATCTTTGGTACACTTTATCCACAATTGGTAATTGATTACCATATCATACTAGTCAAAGTTCTTTGACAGCTGTTACGTGTTATATTGCTATATCCTTTCACTGTTTGACGTAAGTGCTTAAACACTTTTAATAAGAGCTAGAGATTTTAAAAATTGGCTAAGGCTTGCCCTGCTTTCACAAAGTTCCACTATATGAACTTTTGGCCCGAGTATATTCTTAACTTGTTCACCTGAATTTAGTGGCATTTTTAACCTGAAGTTTTCAGTGTTGTGACTTTTGTGACTTTTAAGTTATGTAAAGGAAATGTAACCAAGCCTTTCATGCTTGCTCATTAATGATCCTTTCTTGGTTCACAACACAAAAACATGTTACTACTTTTGCTTCGTAGGCTTTAAGAAGTCAAGTTCAACTTCTCTAAGTTAGCCAATTGAAGGATCTTGCTCATCCAATCTCTAGTAATGATGGGTAGTGTATACAGAGGGGTAGACACTTAGATAGGCAAGCTTGACAACTCACACTTGCAGGGAATTCTTCCCTAATACATAATTACAGTTTCCTGACAGTGTAGGGTATACATGTACTGAGCCAGCGTGGCGTGTCTCTGGAGTTGGAACTTTATTTGGAAGGCATTTATGGGGTGCTGGAAACTAAATATCTGGTTTGGACTATCACCAGCCCTAGTGTCCCCACCAATGGGGACAGAGCATGGGAAATTGGAGAGAGATTTCTCTGTCAAAAACCTAGTTAGCATTTAGAGTATTTCTGAGTTTATACCTTTGTGTGATTAAAATTTAACATTAAATTCTTCCAATAATGTAGATAACATTTAGGTCAAAATTAGTATAGACATGTCCAGTGTATAGTCCTTTAGAAAATCCTACATGGGAAGCTAAGTCATAATCACAAACTTGGTTCTGAGCATAGAATAGAGTAGTTATATCAATGAAATGATCTCAGATTAAAATCCTCATCTTCACTGCCATTACTTTCATGACATTGATGCTTGGAGAATAGATTTTAAAGTGTTTCTGAATTTCTGACCTTTTTCATGATGAAATTTAGAGTATAGATTTGGGGCTAGAATACTACATACACGATGTTTTATTTATAGGTTATTTTATCTAGAGGTGTAATGTTCATTTGCACCTTACTGTAATACTAAAAAAAAATTGACAGAGGGCCTGTGTTCTTGCCAGAGAACCCCCCCCAACACACAGTGGGGCGTGGTTTAGCCACAATCCTGTTCCCTTCATGTTTCTCCCTACCATCAGGATATCAGGCATGCATGTACACACACCTGGCATGTTTTTAATGCTGCAAGGGCGAGGATTCAAACCATCATCAGCCATGTGAAATCTGGCTTCCAGTGCATAGCACTTAACTGCTACACTACAGGGCTTGTGTTATGATAATTAGCTATAATCATTTGCTTGGGTTGTCTGATTTCTCTCCTATCTAGTTGCTATTTTTCCCTTTACAAGTAATTGTGGGAGATACCTTGAAATCATAGTATCCTGTTCAAGATAAATTTGTTAAGTCTTATTGTTTACTTTCTCTAAGTCAGCCATTTCTTTAAGGAATTTTAAGGGCATTCTGCTTTTATTCATAATTTGTTGGTTCAACTCTGAGAACAACCTTTTTTCCCATAATTGTGCAGGAAATTGCTGTAGGATGCTGTAACTCCTCCATTACTGCTAACGACCAGTTGTGGTTAAAAAGAACCTTACTGTTCAGAGAATGTTCAAATCCCTTTGCTTGGCATGCAAGACCATAGGAAATCTGACTGTGATTTTAATGTTTATTCCATCCTGGCTGATTCTGTTCTCTCTTCAACATACTGTATTCATTTTGATTGCTGACCTTAATTTGTTTTTGTTGTCACCTGACCGTTACCCCTGTGTCACTAGATATCCAACACTATTCAAGAACCAGCCCTCGAGACCAGCAGTTAGTGTAATGGCTATGTCACTGGACTCCCATGTAGTCGACTGCAGTTCAAGTCCTGGACCTGGCGGCTTAAACTCACGCCGGGCTCGTGTGTGTGCGTGCCCAAGATACCAAGAGGAGAATGGAGGAGAAAGGATTGTGGCGTGACCATCCTCCCTGGGGGATGATTTCTCACTTTCTGTCTCTCTGTCTCTGTCTCTCTGGCGAGCACATGTGCCCTAGAGCAAAAATCTCTCCAAAAAAAAAAAAGAACCAGCCCCCTCATATTTTCTGTTAAAGTTTTCTCTATTCCTATTTTTTTTTCCCCTTCAGTGCTTTGGGAGCTCTAGATTCTATTGGTCAACCTGAACCAGTTAGCCTGGGGCCAGGCCAGCACATGGCATAGTGGTTAAGTTGCTGGATTCCCTTGTGATCGGCTGTGGCTTGAGTCTTGGACCTGGTGGCTTGCGTGTGCTCTGTCTGTCTGTCTGTGGTGAATGCATGTGCACTGTAGCAAAATATAAAGAAAATAACAATAAATGAAGTTAAATGCAGAATCCAATTTTAAAAAATACAACAGTATAGCATCTTAGATTCCTCCCTTGAACTTGTCGCACACTTGTATGTGCTTATTCTTGTTTCCTAACCATACTTTATATTGTTAAATCATTTCACAAAACTAATATAGCATGGAAATATGTGCCATGCAGTACACATGTAGATGTGAGAAGTTATGCAGGATTTGACCCTAACCTTAATGATAGGTATAGGAAAGTGCTGTATGCCACTGGGCCTATGTTTTGTAAAGTGCATTGAAACAATGCAGTAAACCAGATCTGGCCAGAGACATGACAGGGTAGGCTGACTAGCACTTGGTCTTGGGTTCAAAGGGTGTGACTGTAAGGCATACAAGATGAAGTGTCAGGGCAGGAGGGTTTGACATTCCAGTACAAGGTAGCTCTGGCTACATAATAGTACATAATAATAGTGACCACATAATGTGGTTGGGACAATACAATTAGAATTGCTGGATTGTGAAGTGTGATAGGATATATGATACTGGAAAGTTGGTAGTCTGATTGAAATATTCAATGTCATGCAAAGATACTGTATTTTTTAGGAGGGAAGAATTTTTGTTAAAGAGGTTTTTGCCGTAGGATGCATGCACTCCCTGGAGAGAGAGAGAGAGACGGTGAGAGGAAAAGTAATCTTCCAGGGGAGATGGCCGCACGCAATGCTCTCTCCTTTATACTCCTGGGATATTGAGCACACATGCCCTAGGGTCTGGGACTGGAACTGTGTCCAGCCACTTAACCACTAAGGCACATGCTTGCTCCAAGAGGGAAGAATTTTAAGGGAAAAGAGTATCAGGTGTTTCGTGTTAATATCACTACTAGTAATAAGGGGTTGAAGCCAAAATAGAAACGTAAAATTCTGTAGAAGTCAATTCCTTGGCAAGGCCCCAAGGTTTAGCAGGGAAAAGTTTTCAGTGAATGTTGCTGGAACCATTAGACATATGGGAAAAAAATCTGGACCCCATTCTCACACCACAACAAAGTTAATCCGAGATAGTCATAGACCAAAAAGTAAAGGCTATAAATACAGACTCAAAACAAAACAATACCTTCATAACCTTGGGTTAGGCAAAGATTAAGGACACAAATATATCTCATCAAATAGTACACTGATTGGGTATATTTGACAATTTTGTACCCACGATAAACTATAAACCACTATATAAACACTTAAAAAAAAAACAAGATTGTAGAAGATTGTAGATATTTCACAAAAGAAGATACATGAATGACCTTGGTGACAATGTACCCAATATCATTATTTAGGAATTAAAACCAGGGTAATAAACATTTCACACCGATCAAGATGGAAGTTTAAATAATGAGAAGAGTGGTCGGTGTGTATCTACTGTACTCTCTCCTGCTGCGTTGGCCATGCCATGCAAACGGGTATGGCAACTTGGGACAACAGGTGGTTAGTTTCCTATAAAGTTAAACAGACTTACCATAGGACCAGCCAGTTCGGAGGAAGTGGTTACGCTGTGTATATATTTGCCAAAACTTATCGAATTGAGCACCTAAATCGGGTGCATTTCATTATATTTAAACTGCTATAAAAGCAAAACAGACAAAAATAGCATAAAATACAAATAAATGCAATTTCCAGGAGCCCTCTTGGTTCACTATGGCAGCCGGCACTCTCGTGTCAGGAAATGAAACTCGGAAGAAATCCTGCGCTGAAGCCTGTGAACAGCGATTTTGCAACCACTTGCCTTGCCCCCAGCTACCGCTAGTTGCAGTTTCCATTTCTTCAAAGTTCCCCCGATGCTCCGCCTCTCAGCCTGTGTTGTCTCAAGAAAGCCCTTGCCTCCCAGCTCGCCAGGCCCTTGTCTTTCAGCCTGGCTTTAAAGGGAGAGGGGCGCAACCAAGCTAGGACCTTGTGGGGAGCTGAGGTCCGTGTGGTCATCAAGCAGGGGTGGGATCATCACGCCTTCCCTTACTGTCCTAAAGACTCTGGGCCATACCTACCTTATGAACTATGTGGCTCCTCTGGTTTGGAAAGGGTGAGTGGTCTCCAGGGTGCTGGCTCATCCATGGGAGCAGGAAATCAATTGAGAACTTTATCCTTTACTTTCAATAATTTCTTTCTTTTAATAAATACATACTAGCCTGCTAGAAACACTGGGATTCTGGCAAGATCCTCATGGCATAATTTTTTTTTGTTTTTGTCAGGTTTTTGCTATAGGATGTGTTTGCCGGAGAGGTGGGGTGGGGGGTTGGGGAGTAAGAAATCACCCCCTGGGAGGGAGTGGCTACACAGCAATCTCTTCATCCTCTTCTCGGGATTTCGGATTTCGGGCATGCTCGCACAGGTGCCTAGCCTGATTTTTAAGCCGCTGGGACCTATTGGCTAGCACTTCAGCTGCCAGGCCACCTGCTGTCCCCTACCCCCATAGTAATTAAAATTTTATTTATTGACTTCTGCCAGAAGAGACAAAAAGAGACCCCTTCCTCACCACAGCAGGTTCTTCACAGTGTGATCACACCCCCAGGGTATGCACAGGGAGACCTGGTACTCCAAGTGGCACCTTTTCAGCATCACCGAATACAGACTTACAGATGGACAACCATGCTGGTCCCCATGACACTGATATTGTCAGAGTTTGAGGAGCCTTAGAAGTTTGGATGGGGAAACAGTTTCAGTGAAGTGATGTGCCTTAGGGGCGTAAGTCTACCTAATTTCAAAGCTGGGGAAAAAACTGTTTTTGTTTATTTCTACTAATACTTAGGTCTGTGGTGTTTTCAGCTTTTTACTGGCATCAGAGATTGAGAAATAAAATACAAACCCTTTTTAATATATTTTACAGCCCAGGGTTTGGCGAAGGGGGATTCAAAGAGTGAGGATAGATGTATGCAAGTGATTACAATACTAGGGTAAAAATGCTGTCTGAACCCAAAGAAAGTTCAGGTTTATTCTGCTGGGTCTTACTTGAGCTTTCAAATAACTAGAAACTTAAGAGTAGCAAGACTTTCTCCACTGACTGGCTTTAGTCAGGTGTTTCCAACTGGCTTTGAGACTCATGATTGTGGGGTGGCCATTTTGTCAATTTATATGGAATTGCTTTTAGCTGGAGATGAGCAGAGATTTCAGGAATAGTGGAAAAAAGGGGTACTACTTGGGAGGAGTTGAGATAAGGGGGGCTGTCTGGCAATTCAGTCTCCAAGTGTCTGAATTTCTTTACTGATGTTAGGCATTTTATTGAAAATTGCATTAAAACATGCAGTTAAATTGGGTTCTGATTGCTCTGCAAAACCAAGCCACAGGTTGTGGAGTGAGGAGAGAACCACCACCAACAAAAGTGGACCTCCACCGCGGTTCGCGTCCTGGACCCGGTGGCTTAAAACTCACGCTGGGTGCATGTGTGTACATGCCCGATCCCGAGAGGAGAAGGCATTGCGGAGTGGTCATCCCCCCAGGAGGTGATTTCTTGCTTTCTGTCTCTCTGTCTGTTTCTGTCTGTCTGGCGAGTGCACGCGCTCTATAGCAAAAACCTCTCAAAAAAAAAAAAAAGTGAATCTCCACTTTCTATGTGTGCTCAGAGGGAAGTAACAAAATGGCATCCTCATGACACTTAGTAGCTTGGACCCATGAAGAACATAGGCCTGTGTAGGCCTTTGCAAGACATTGCTCTTAGAAATCCTTAGAAAACACTGGCAAATGTGTGAATCCCATTTTTTTCATCACTCATGTATTGATATTTTTTTGTTTGTTTTTGGAAAGGATTTTGCTTTAGAGCGTGTGCGCTCGCCAGAACGACAGAGAGAGAGAGAGAGAGAGACAGAGAGAGAGAAAGTGAGAAATCACCCCCCAAGGGAGATGGACATGCCACAGTTCCTTCTCTTCCTTTCTCCTCTTGGGATCTTGGGCACACACACACACACGTGCCTGATGTGAATTTAAGCCACTGGGTCCGGGACTCAAACTGCGGTCAGCTATATGGGAGTTCAGTGACATAGCCATTACAGTAACTGCTGGTCCCAACTCACATGTTGATTAAATAATTTGATTAAAAACCCCATAACTTGTGCGTTAGGCATTACGTTAGTGTTGGAGGTAATTTACTAAGCACCTATTACCTAACAGAAACTACATGTTAGGGACTGAGGATCAGTGCTACGCGCTCTATAGCAAAAACCTCTCAAAAAAAAAAAAAAAAGTGAATCTCCACTTTCTATGTGTGCTCAGAGGGAAGTAACAAAATGGCATCCTCATGACACTTAGTAGCTTGGACCCATGAAGAACATAGGCCTGTGTAGGCCTTTGCAAGACATTGCTCTTAGAAATCCTTAGAAAACACTGGCAAATGTGTGAATCCCATTTTTTTCATCACTCATGTATTGATATTTTTTTGTTTGTTTTTGGAAAGGATTTTGCTTTAGAGCGTGTGCGCTCGCCAGAACGACAGAGAGAGAGAGAGAGAGAGACAGAGAGAGAGAAAGTGAGAAATCACCCCCCAAGGGAGATGGACATGCCACAGTTCCTTCTCTTCCTTTCTCCTCTTGGGATCTTGGGCACACACACACACACGTGCCTGATGTGAATTTAAGCCACTGGGTCCGGGACTCAAACTGCGGTCAGCTATATGGGAGTTCAGTGACATAGCCATTACAGTAACTGCTGGTCCCAACTCACATGTTGATTAAATAATTTGATTAAAAACCCCATAACTTGTGCGTTAGGCATTACGTTAGTGTTGGAGGTAATTTACTAAGCACCTATTACCTAACAGAAACTACATGTTAGGGACTGAGGATCAGTGCTTAGCATGGTAGATCTTGTCTCTGCCCTAATAGAAATTGGAGTGCATACATGAAGGCAAGTAGTTAAAGAAACAGATGCATTGATGGAAAACCATGGGGGGCTGCAGGAGTACATAGCTGAGATCTACTTATTCTGAAGGGAACAGGCAAAGCTACATATGTAGCATTTGGACTGAGGTCTAAGTAGGAGTGAGAATTAGCTGGAAGGAGACTAGTAATTTCAAGTAGCGATTTCATTATATTCTAAGGTCCAGGGTGAAAGATAAACCAGTTTTCCAGGAATCCATATAATATTAGTGGGTTGAAGTGTAGAGAGGGAGAGGTAAAAGTTGAGAGATACGAGGCTTGAGAGTCAGATAGAAATGGAGACTTCAGCAGCTTTGGACTTTGTGCACTAAAAAGTTATAAGGAGAGGGGACAAAATTGAATTTGAGTATAGAAAAATGGCTAGTTTGAGGAATAGATTGAATAGGTACAAGACTGGGGACAGAGGTAATAGCAGGCGCAAAGATTCTAAGACAGTGAGGTAGAAAAACTGGAGGCAGGGAGGCCAATCATGAGACCCCAAATCCAGAGAAATGGGGAGAAGTGGATGGATTTAAGAGGCATTTGGAAAACATAAGCACTGGCACTCTTGGTGGGGAGTAAGTAGGAAGGTTGAGGGCAGGGTGGAGAATGGCTCCCAGGATTCTGGCTTAGGCTCTGGGTGAATGGTGGTGTCTGAGCTAGGAAACAGGAAAAGAGGGACAAGTTTAGAGAAGATGAAAGATTCAGATTTGAATATCCTTAGTTTGTGTGCTTTGGATATATCCAAGTAGAGATGCTGATTAGATTGTGGGGTACATGGGCTTGGAGTTCAGGAAGGAGGTCTAGACCTGGGGAGTCATACATGCAGAGATTCTTGCAGAAACAATAAGAGTGCGTGAGACTGGTCAGTGAAGGGTAAGTAGAAAGAGCCTGGGAATAGAATCCTCCTTGAAGAGCTGGAGGAAGGACTGGAAAGGAGCAGCTGGATGGATAGATGGGTAAAGAGGCATCATGAAAAGAAGGGAGTGATAGTGGATAGCAGGCTTGAATGATGAGAACTCAAGCACAATCAAAACAATTTTCCCTTGACTTTGGCATTATGGACTTCTGAGGCCATTCCCAAGAGAAATTTCTGTGGAGTGGAGGTGAAGGTATATGATGGATAGGAAACTAATTGGAAGAATATTTTGAAGAAGTATTAACAGAAGGTAAGGAATGGGAGAAAGTAAATGTAATCAGTTCTTTTGAAAACATGATTGCCAAATTAAAACTTAAAATGGAGGTAGTAGCATGTTCACACAACTCCAGACTAAACAATGGGGGTACAAGGTGAATTCCAAGAAAGGAGAGAGAACAAAAGAGGAGTATAAGTAAATGGAAAAAAATCTAAGGAAATAATATTTAGTTAAACAACAACAAAAAAACCCCAGCAGTTTGTGAGTTTAACGAGCAGGGAATGTCATCTTTATATATATACTGGCAGGATTTTTAAGATGAAGAAATAATCACACAAGCATTTGGGAAACACAAGGTAATGCAGGTTTTCTGTAACAAAACCAACAAGTTCATCTGAGTTCTTTCCAACCCTAATGTAATTAGACCATAAAACTGTGCAGAATTTTGCAAGTAAAAAGAAATCTCCCAAATTTTATATCCAGCTAGGCTTTTTAATGTGAGTAAGCAAGAGAAAAAACATTTGTCACATATGTGGGGTCTTACATGCATTTCTTATGAAAATTACTTGAAACATGATTCAAAACAATTGAGAGCTGGAAAAAAAATAGCATAATAAAGGGAGTTCTTAGAACATAAAGATTAGTGATATATTTCAATATTCAATATTATGAATATTGAAATCATGCATGTCAGGTTAGTTTTAAATAACTTTATAAATATGGCCACAAAAGTAAATGCAACAGTCAATGATTTTTTAACCTATTTCTTTTTTATAGTATTTATTTTAATTTTATTATTATTATGTTTTAATTTGACGAGAGAGAGAGAGAGAAAGTGAGAAAGCAAGGCACCAGGTCTGGGACCTGAACCATGGTCAATCACTTGGGAGTCTAGTGCCTCAACCACAATGCCACCAGCTTACCCTGTCAAGCATGATTTTTTTTTTCTTTTTAAAAGATTGTTTTTTCCCCTTAAATAATTATTTTACTGGAACCATCAGGTGGCATGGTGGTTAAGGCACTGGACACTCCTACATGGCCAACCACACTTCAAGTCCTGAACCTGGTGGCTTGTTTTCTCACTTTCCTTCTTTCTCTCATTCTGTGTGTCCCTCTCTCGTCAAATTAAAATAAATGAAAGAATAAAACTAATTCT